CATGTCAAACACTTGCATAATGCATATATCTATAGTCCACGAACTATATATTATATTGTATCCCTTTGTATTTGTGGGAAGACATGTCAAACACTTGCATAATGCATATATCTATAGTCCACGAACTATATATTATATTGTATCCCTTTGTATTTGTGGGAAGACATGTCAAACACTTGTATAATGCATATATCTATAGTTGTTGATCAAGCAGGGGCGGGGGATTATAGAATATAGATAAAAGGGAAATACTAAGGTAACATTTGAAAATAAATGGCGCGAAGCGGCAAAAAAATTGTCAACTACTTTTTAAAGGGGAAAATACCCCTTTGAAGATGGGGGCAAGCTCATTTTTTACCCACCACCCCTGATTTTAACCTATGAACATAAATCCCAGGGGGGGCAAGAGGACTACTGCCCCCCCCCCTGTGTACGCGCCTGTGTGTTCAGATCAAACTCACTCTAAACTCAATGCACCCTGCATGAAAACTGAATTTAAATTGTTTTTGTCTGAATTAAAGATCAAAGTAAAATATTTAAACATTTCTCCTTAACATGTTTTTAATTTAAAAACTCAGCGCGAAAAAGACAAATCTTGAGACTAATCTCTAGACAGGCAAAAACATAATCTAATTTAACTAAACAAGGATTTTACAGGAGTTAATCCTGTCTCCTGTATCATCTAGAGGTGCACTACTCTCCTCATATCCTGGTCAGATCACAGGAATGAGATCTCAGGGCTTTGTTCCCCAGATTATACACTGCTTTCAGCATTCCCTAATAATTCATCTCCGGACCAGAAAACTTTGATTCCTATGGAGTGTATCATAGTTCGGGAATCTGATTCCTATGGAGTGTATCATAGTTCGGGAATCTGATTCCTATGGAGTGTATCATAGTTCGGGAATCTTAAGAAATTTCGAAACTTGAAACAAACTTATAAAAAAAGATGGAAAAGAGAGAGAGTAAAAGAACTTACCCACGAATTATGAGATCTGTTCGGACTCGAACTGGAAGGTTTATCTCCACCCTGTTATCCCTGAGAGTGTCCAGGGTGTCCGGGTTAGAACTGTTGACCTCTAGATGCATCTGGAAACTAGATACGTCCTCGAGACTTGAGATATCAGGCTGGAGAACAACTCGGAGAAGAGCCTAAAATTACAAAATATTAGAATATTGATCAATCTAAAAACCTTGTTTTACATATACCGCAATATCATCTTGGAAAACTGAAAAATCGAATAAAAACCAGAAATAAAATTATCTTAACAGTTTTCTAATACATAGAGTTAATAGATAAGAAATATTAGTCAGGAATAGAAAAAAAAATCTATTAAAAATAATAACTGATTAATTTATACTTATCATTAAATTATCCAAAAAATTTCGTTTTTTTATCCCAACTGCATTTTTATTCTAACATTAAGATCCTTTTTTCATCCTAACTATATTTATTTTCCATAACTTATTATTTTTATCCTAGCTCAGTTCATTCATCTAAACCCTGTAGACATTCTATTTCATGTTGTAACAAACAGTGTTTATGTTTTGAGATTTAAAAACATACTTGGAAAGTGACATAAAATTGCAGTATTTCTTGACAAATACTTTAGTATTTTTCCTTCATGCATCTCAAGAATGAAATCATACGTTTAATTACATAGTTTGGATCCTATATAAACCTAGATGGATAGAAAGTTAGAGAAATACAAATAAATAGGTAGCAAAATAGCTTGGAACCTTTACAGTTTAAAGACAGAATGAATGCAATAAAATGCAAGTGAAATTAGTCAAATGTTTGAAGCATACTCTATGAATAACTGAGATAGTTCTCAGATTAGGTTTCTAATGGTATTTATCTTAAAGCTAGTCAAGCTACCAACCCTACCCTGAGATAGATTTATTCCTCCCAATCTAAACTAACCTACATGGATTGAAACCAACTATAAAATATATTGAACCAGAGCAATACCTGTAGGAATTAAAACCATCTCGGAGAACTAGCCAACCTAAGATACTAGATATATCCAAAAATCCTACTAAATTCAATAAATTATTATAATATAATTTGATCCTTGTTTATCTGACACCCCTTCCGTTTTCGCGAACACTCCCTGTTATAAAAAGAAAGCAACCCCAAGACCTTGGCTAAAAGCAATTCAAAATTCCACAAGATATCTAACCCAACCTTTTAAAAGTTCTAGAGTATCCGTTCATCCTTCTCCCGACCTATCCTGACCTCTGAGCCAGGGTTGGAGCTGTAAATACGAGATTAACAACATGAAGAGCCACAATACTCGGATAAATTGCATCATTGTTCGGCAAAAGCAGGATTTTATTCAAGAATCCTTCTCATACCGTCCCTACCCTCCTTCATATCTATCTCCTAGTAATCCTTATCATCCCTTCCCTACCCTTCCTTCATATCCTTCTCCTAGCACTCCTTCTCATACCGTCCCTACCCTCCTTCATATCCATCTCCTAGCACTCATTCTCATCCCATCCCACTCCTGGAGTACAATAATCCTTACTCATTGTTATTATCTTGTAATCTTAAAATCTCATTTTTGTTTTTTATTTACACCATCCCTTCTCAACCCATCCTCCCGGTTCTTACCTTACTGTTTGCTTCCATTGGGTTTCCGAGATCACATTTTAGGACAAAGTTATTGTTGAGGGTTGGAGGAGAACACAGGACAGGAATACTACCATGAGATATCTCTCCGTATCCCTCCATAACCTCAGTCTTTACGTAGTTAACAGCCTCCGGGAGATTCAGGTAGAACGTGGCCTCGTAAGCATCCTCTCCGTGGTTGTGAACCTCGAGGTTGATCTCAAATCTGTCCTCGCTGCCAACGGAGTACTCATCCAAATTGCTGAAATTCGACAAATTCTTGTTGCTTCATAAAGCTCACAAAGTGCATATATCTGAATACTGTTATATTGTTTATATATTTAACAAGATATACTATGGATATTAAAGTCAGGACAATAAAGCAATATATATATAAAACAGGAATGATTTATCTATGCAATAAACAAAATGTCTTTGTCATCGACAGCCGTTCAACTATAAGTAAACTGTAAAAGGGCAATCAGGAAAAACAAAGAAAAAGTAAAGTTTAAAAACTGGTATTTACCAAGTGTGAAATATCTTGAGATCTGGTATACAGATATTGTCTGGCCCGCAATCCTTCTGTATGTTAACAGTATCCCTGGTCACCAGCTCTATATCCTCCGATCTACCGGTTAAACTCTGGAACTCTACGGAGCTGGTGGAGAGACCTAGAACCGGGCTCAGCTCCGACCTTGTAGGTGACAGCTTTACGGTCAGTTTGGATTCAAGTCCAGTTAGCTTGTCACGGATATTCGGCTGAAAATTAAATGATCATTAAAACCAGAATTTTTTAAATCTTTTTTTTTAAAAACATGAATCTAAAACTTTTAATTGAAATATTTTATTCTTTCAAAATGTCAATCTTGCTTAAATTTGTTTAAAATTTCTATTATATAATATAATATATAAAATACTAATGAAAAAGCTCAAACTTGCTTTCCTCAGTATGACTCAGTGCGATTTGATAAATTTTTTTAAAGTTTTTATAAATTCTAAGAAAATGCATATCTGTAAAATCAATCTGTATCTTGTTCTAACATTTACTTACAATGAGATAAACATCAAAGTTTCTGCAGCTTTCAATCTCTTTTGTGAGGAGAAAATCTTCCTGGATAAAATATTCTTCCTCCTTGAGGAAATACATCCTTGAGCTCAACTGTTTCTTAGTGTCCAGTTCAATCTTTGTCGAGATCCCTAGTTTAAAGAAAAGATTAAAACATGTTTTATCTTTCTCATTTAATTTCCTGATTTCAACTTCTTATACTTACTTAATTTCTTGTCTACTCCGACACCAGAGTATGTTACACAGATCCTGATCTGGGAACAGGAAACCTTCTCTCCTTCTCTCGTCTCACAACCCTTCAGCTCCATGTCAATATTCCCTCCCTCGGATAGAAATGATATCTCCGCCTCTAGATTAACCACTGGTCTCGCCCTAGATAGTTCAATTTCATTCTTCTCTCCAACTCAAATCATCCTAATCTTACCCTTTTTATAATCCGTGTGTCTAGTTGTGGTCTATCAGGGTACGTTTAACTATTTATACACTATCTGTTTGGTTTACTACCCGGCGAAAACATACCTGAGTAGAACAGTCTGGTCGGAGTGTGGAGCTCCGACAACAAGATCAGGATAGGAGTTGGAATCAAGATCTACTCCTCCGGAGAGAGAAAATCCAAACCCTCGAATGTTCTCTCTCAATGTTCCACCGAATATGACCTGAATTTGAACAATTTAGACCGATTCAAATAAAGCAAGTTTCAACGCGCGCAAAATCATCTTTTTCAAGGGGTTAAAATTTAAAATAGGCTTAATTTACCTGATCTGGCCTCTCTCTAACTCCAGCTTTAGATCCACGATAGATATAAACAGCACCTTCTCCTCTTGGTCCACTGTATGGAGCTCCAACGGCAAAATCTCCATATCCGTCCTTGTCCATGTCTCCTAGTCCTGCCAGAGCAAAACCAAACCGTCCTTTTGAGGTTTCTCCGTCCCTGATGTGCCATTTGCGAAACTTATGCTGAAATATGATTATCTTTAGTTTCTCTTTCATCTTTAATGAATGATGTCATTATCATCAAATGGGATTTAAAAACTTCTTACAGGCCATAAAACGTCTGATATAAAAAGGAATCTGACAGTTCAGAAAATCAGCTGAATTTGAACCCCTGGAGTTTGGGTCGGCAAATCTGCATATGTTCGGATACTGAGACGAATTTAACAGTTGTTGGTAGGAGCTAGGCTCAGGTTACACCCCAGATTCATGTAAACTATTATCAACCCTCTAACATGAGCTAAGAAACTACATAAACTATTGAAACTTTACAAGATTTAATTCTCCGAACACTCCAGGAGTCAGGTTCAGATCCGTTTCTCAGGTGATCGATCAAATTTCGTAGAATATTCCCTGTTGTGACATGAGAGTATAAATGTTTATATGTTTAGTTTATCATGTTTTTATGTTTACCTCTTTATTCTGATAGACAACATATATCCGACCCGTCTCATATTTTCCATCTGTCAGTCCGAAGTCAGTGTGAAGTGGAGCTCCGATAATAGCATCGTCCATTCCGTCACCGTTGACATCACTGACAGCGACCGCGTGCCCGAAGTAAGCTCCGACCTGGGCTCCGGTCACGTTATGCAGCTGGGTCATACTCCGGCCTGACAGAAAGATAACCTTCCCGGTGAGGTTTGCTCCACGAGGCATTCCCACCACTAGATCAGGATACATATCCTCATCAAAACTTCCCATGGTCAGTGAATACCCTGAAAAAAAATAGATGAAACCTAACATGTAATATCTTGTCTATCCTAGTACACAAACTTGTTCAAAAGTTTAATTCTTGAAATTTTTAGTTCGAACTTGTCAACACCTTTTTTATTTGAAGCAAGGAAACTATTTGTATTCTAGGAATCTAGGTTTTGTTCCGTGCTCCGGGTAGAAGGATATAACTGCCAGGTTACGCAGAGCTCAGCTCAGGATTTGATTAAACCCAGATCTCAGTAAAAAGTTAAAACATTTATAGCGGCAAATTGGAGAAATGGGATTAAGGGAAAAACGGGAATGATGACTAGGACAGATTCCCCTTTTTATTCAAGGATTATGAGAATATGTTTTGCTCCGGGCATATCCAGAAAATACTTTTTTTCTCCATAAAACGTTTTCATTTTCTGCAAATTTCGCTTTAATAAGTTCATCTTATATTTCATAAACAGTGAATATATGCATAAGACAGAGAGGATAATTCCTACAGCATGCAACGACTACAGATATTTAGGTCATTAAGTAATTTTTATCCAAGATGTCAAGGTTAATTTATGCTCTTGAGCATTAAAGAGACAAGAACCCTAAAAGGCTTTGCTAATCTTATCAAAAATAATTTAAACATTTTTTGTTGAATCTTAAATTTTCCGCTGATAGAAGCAGTCACGAGATGTTCCGAAGGAAACTCGTCATAATTTTAAGATTTATTAAAAATCCTGAAACAGGATAAAAATTCTCCAATCCTACCTAGATAGGTATTATCCTCTGTCTCCGGACCCTCCTCCGTAGCAATGAGATCCATCCTGTTCCAGAGATTTTGAGAGTAGGTTTGCCCCTGCCAGTAGTAGCTCCCAGGGGTTCCAATAAATATCCGTTCCTGAACAATCATTAATCTAAAATATTGATTAACGTAATCAAATTATATCTCATCTTGAAAAAAATGTAAATATTCGTTCATGACTTCTACACCTTCCTCTTCTGTCTTCCTGTATTTCTATATAAATCTATAATCTGTTGGTCTGTTGAAACATAGGTTCGGAGAACCTAAACCCGTATCCGGAGAGTTGAAAGCACGCTCAGCTAATGGTTTCCTCAATCCTGTCATTTAAACCTAATCTTGGGCCTGTTCTACCCGTTATCCCCCCCCCCCCAACCTCTTCTATACACTATACTCCCCCCCTCCCTCCCCCAACCTCTCCTATACACTATACTCAGCCCCCCCCTGCCTGCACCGGAGTTTTAATACAAATTCTTACAAATTGATTTATCCCATCTCCATCTAAACATCATTAGATTAATATTTAGTTAATGATTTAATAAAACTGCAAGGGGGTATCCCAGCCAGGTGTTTAGCAGGTATATCCTTCAATTAGGTGTCAGCGCTAGTTTAGTCCGGGAGTTGTTTATGTGTAGGAGTTTAATCCTTCAGTTAAATATAGAAGTTAATCTTTTAGATAGATTTAGGAATTTAATCCGCTAGCCAGATGTAGGAGTTTAATCTTTGAGTAAGATATAGAAGTTTAATCCTTTCGTTAGATATAAGAGCTTAGTCGTTTTGTTAGATTTAAGAGTTTAATCTTTGAGTAAGATATAGAAGTTTAATCCTTGAGTTTGATATAAGATTTTAATCCTTTAGTTAGATGTAGGAGTTGAATCTTTGAGTAAGATATAGGAGTTTAATCTTTGATCGAGTAAGATGTAGAAGTTTGAGTTTGATGTAAGAGTTAGATGGTGCATTGAACATGTCAGGTACATATATCTATATTTTTTTTACATTTATTCGTAACAAAAACATGTTTATTTTTTATCAATGTTTTTAGCACGAAAAAATATTTAAAATCCTTGAAGGAGAAAACACTCTAGTTCTCAAAATACAAAAAATAAACAATAGAAATACGATACTTTATGTTAACCTTAGAATAACTCTCATCTCTCCGTACTCTCCCAATACCCTGAGATACGTAAACTCATTCTCTCCTACTTTTATGAAACTGGATCCACAATTATTCGTCTCACACCCAGTTCTGAGCAAAGTAAACCTTTAAAACCCATATTTCACATCTTTCTCAGCCTTTCCCTAAGAACACCAAAGAAAGGTGCTCAAACCCTCCCCGGAGAAAATGGATTCCATCCCGTCCTACCTTAGTTGCAGCAGCAGCAAGTCCAGCTTGACAGTATCCCTGTCTATGGTACCCCCAGGCTCCTGGAAATATAGAAACATAAACATAATCCTAATCAAAGGGAAACTTCTACCCTTAGTGAGTTACACTATATTTCAAGTCATCGTTTCAGATACTCTATTATTTGGAATCAAATTCCCATATCAATGGCTGCTCCCAGAATATTTTGTAAAAAAAATCTTCATATTTTTATAATTCCTTCCATCATCCAGTTTAATTTATCAGGGGAACCTGGGGGAAACCCTGTCTTATCAACAACGTAATCTAAATCGCAAGAGGACATATTTGAGTGAGGGTTACGGAAGGGGAAAATGTGAGATTGAGATGGGGAAATTTAAAAGTCCGTGGGGAATTTAAAGTTTATGTTTGTGATTATTTGACAGTATTTTGGTTTGTTAAAAATCTTGATACTGAACAGACTTAATAACATTCTTTTCTTATTTTCTCATGCTAAAGTTTCTGGGACTACATACCTAATGTTCAAGTTCCTAGTTCTTAACCTTATATTCATGTTCTCGTTCTTAATCATCTGTTCGTGTTCCTGTTCTTAATCTTCTGTTAATTTTCCTGTTCTTAATCTTCTAGTCATTTTCCTGTTCTTAATTTTTTGTTAATTTTCCTGTTCTTTATCGTTTGTTCGTGTTATGTTCTTCTGTTCAGGATCTTGTTCTTAATCATCTGTTCATATTCCTGTTTTTAATCTTCTGTTCATGTCACTGTTCTTAATCTTTTATTCATGTTCCTGTTCTTAATCTTATATTCATGTTCTCGTTCTCAATAATCTGTTCGCGTTCCTGTTCTTAATCTTTTGTTAATTTTCCTGTTCTTTATCGTTTGTTCGTGTTACTGTTCATAATTTTCTGTACAAGTTTCTGTTCTTAATCTTCTGTTCAAGTTCTTGTTCTTAATCATCTGTTCATATTTCTGGTTTTAATCTTCAGCTCATGTCCCTGTTCTTATATTCTTCTGTTTATGATCCTAGTTTCCTGGATTTGTAAGAAGACGACTTCTACGAATTCTAAAATTCTATAATCTCTAAATGCATATTATCTATACATGAATACGTGTATTATATATATATATATATATATATATATATATATATATATACATATGTAGATCCCGGCGTGAAGTCGTGAGTTTGCCGACTCAATTCAACATTTTCTACACTTTAATCTCCACGCAGGTTTCAGGACGTTTCTTGTCTCTCCGTCCCGAAGGATGGGGGTGGAATATTTCGTGTTTTGTGGTTCTACTAAACGACAGTTTGTTCTTGATTTATGAACTCATTGGTTTTACCATATTACAATATCAATACAAGATAAACACCAAGCAAGAACTAATTTAAATGTTCTTTTAAAATTGAAATTCTTCTAAGTTTTAATGTTTACCTGTTCTGCAGGGAGAGTACTCGGAGAACCTGGAGAAGGATTCGACAGCCGTGAAGCAGGTTCCAACAGGTTCCCTTCTCTTGTTATTGATAGAGTAGTAGACGTATCTCGGAGCACAAGCCTGGATAACATGTAAAATTAGTTTGCTATGTTTCTCTATCCATCTCTTACAATAAATCCTACTTAGACCTACTTAGCTTAAGAAATGTGAATACTGTATTGAACGTAGCTTATATATTTATAGAACAGCTTAAATCACCAATAATAATAATACATAATCTTATTTTAAGACATTAAATGGTTCTCCTAGGCTATTCTTAACTTCTGCCCTTTCCTTAAAAAAGGAGATATTACATGTAAAAAAACAGTGGCAAATGTTAAAAATGACATGTTTTTCTAAGAAAGATTGAAAGATTATAAATTTTATGATTTCATTTTAACACAGGCCCGCTTCATTAAACATAAAATTGTACACCAACCTTTACCCCCCCCCTAACTAAATTTTGCAGTTGCGCCTCTGCCTTTGCGAACTGTTCTTTTAGTTTTATAGGCAGAATAGGCATGTTGCTTTGTTGCCGAAGTATGTATACGCCATAATGCGCATATTCATTGGTTTTCGGTTTGCAATTAATACTAATCTAAACTATTGTAAATTTAATTAGTAGCTTTTTACGCCCCTCCCTTCCCAACACCTATCCTCTCAGACCCTTCCTGTCCTTCCTACCAGTCCTGCCCACTGAGTTAGTCCACAATTTAACTAAAAATGTTCATAATTTTTTAAATTAATTTTTTAATCGTTTCTCGTATAGTTGTTAAAATAACCTCTTGAGATTTTTGTTGTTTATAGCTTTTGAATAAATACTAAGAATTACCCATTCTAATCCTTTTAATCCTATAATTGTTAATATTAGAATGTCCCCGCCATTTTAAAGATACGCTGACACCATTTTAGAAAAGTAAAAAGTTCTTTAGTTGATAAAAAACTTTGTGATATATTAAGCTATATATAAGTGTACCGTCATTTTTGTTTATTGTACAATCACCAATCTGATTATTTTAAAGCTAGCTATACCATCCTATCGTCTTATTCACTCCGATTCTCTCTTTCATCTTCTGTTTATCCCTCTCCACTCCCCACCCTGCCACTGAGTTATCTCTTCCCTCTTCTTGGAAGGTTTACAACCCATCAATCACGTTTTTTATTCTCGGCGTGCATGTGCTCACATATGTTGTGTATAGTTTGTGTGTCTGTTTGCTTGTAATAAAACGAAACAGATTTTAATTTTTCGAGTTTTTTATTTATCAGTGATCAACCTCAATATAATTTTATTCCGCGGTTTTGTTCACAAGATCTCATTAGTCATTGTATTCCCCTATATTTGACCCCAAAAACCCTCTATTTGACTCCTTGTCCTAATTATATTCCGCTATAACTAATCTCTATAACTCCATAAATTCCGCTAAGGATTTTGTCCATTCCGTTATGTTGTGGTTTTGGAGTTCAACCCTATAGGATACATAGAGTTTAATTGCTGCAATATCATTTATGATGATAACGTTTAATTACAAGAAGATTTAAGTATCTTTTATATACACAGGGTTTTCCGGAAAGTTTGCGACATTGCAATTGGAAACTTTGAACCCTTAGAATTAAAACCTGGTTCCCGTGATTAAAATGAAAGTTTACTATTTAAAAAATGCTTACAACGGTGTGAAACCTATTTTATTTCGCATAAAGTGACATAAATGTATTTGTCATGATATATTTCATATTCTCAGATTACGTCAGCACTTTTCAAATTTATGTTTTGTCAATAACGGTATTTCTTGAAATAAAAGAAGAAACTAAACATTTTAAACAAATCCCCATGAATTTAAAAACAGGGATGCCAGTGGACACCCCCCTGTTGAAACTGAGAGGAAGTCAAAATGAAAAAAAGATAAAAACTAAAAAATGTTTCAATTTCATGACAATCAATGATTTACCTACGCCAAGATAAATAATTAACAAGATTTTGAAGATAAGGAATTTTTTAACAACAGGATATCATTTCAGATCATTATGGAGTCAGGTTTATTCAATCTTCCCTCGATATATCCGACATATTGTCTTATTCACCATTAGGAGGACAAAACATACAAACACAAGGTCAGGTTGCATATTTAGGTAAAAGTAAAAGTATCCATGATTTTAGTAGGATGAAAAATGAGTGAAAGATATTTCGTATATTGTATATGACTAAAGATTATAATCTGGTAGAGCAGAGGAGAATAATCAAATAGGACGAAAAACAAGATTTAAGAGGATAGATCTAATAGGACGGAGCAGTATGATCGGTAGGACATGGGAGAATGATCAAGTATGACGAAGGAGTATGATCTCTTATGACGGAGTAGTATGATCTGATAAAACGAAGGAGTGTCACGGAGAAGTATGAACTGATAAGACGGAGGATTATGTACCAGAAAGACGGAGAAGTATGAACTGATAAGACGGAGTAGTATGTACCAGTAGGACGGAGGAGTATGTACCAGTAGGACGGAGTAGTATGTACCAGTAGGACGGAGGAGTATGTACCAGTAGGACGGAGTAGTATGTACCAGCAGGACGAAGGAGTGTTTACCATTATGACGGCCTGAGTATTAACAAGTAGGACGGAAGAGTCTGTACCGGTAGGACGGAAAAGTAAGAACTAATAGGGTTTAGAAGTGTGATCTAGTAGGAGTTAGGACGGATGCAATGACTTGAATATCCAAGATAATTAAAATTCTGAGTACGGTCTAGTTTCGCGAAGAATTTAAGATATTTACAAGTCGGCGTCAATGTTATACCCCCCCCCCCCNGGGGGGGGGGGGGGGTGATCCTCCATAAACACATTTCCCGTTGTATATTAGTTTACTTCCTTCTCCATGTCTATTTTAAAACTATAAATTGAGGATTGGTTGCCAAGTGCTGGACACATCTTAAAGATAAACCTAATAGAGATTAAACCAGTAGAAGAGAGAACAAGATAATAGAAGAAGAGAACAGGATAAGTGGGGAAGAGAACATGATTAGAAGAGAGGAGAACAGGATAAGAAGAGAAAAAAAAAATTAGATTAGAAGAGAAGAGAACAGGATAAGAAGAGAAAAATACAAGAGTAGAAGAGAAGAGAACAGGATAAGAAGAGAAAAATACAAGAGTAGAAGAGAAGAGAACAGGATAAGAAGAGCAAAATACAAGAGTAGAAGAGAGGAGAACAGGATAAGAATAGAATACATGATTAGAAGAGAGGAGAACAGGATAAGAAGAGAAAAATACAAGAGTAGAAGAGAGGAGAACAGGATAAGAAGAGAAAAATACAAGAGTAGAAGAGAGGAGAGAAAGTATAATGAAAAGGAGAAGAGGGGAAATAAAAAGAGAGAAATGAAAAAACTGAACGGCCGTTTTCAGAAAGCAAAGTAGAGAAGGAAATGTTAGGAAAATATAAAGAATTATCAAGAAAAGGGTTTAGTTTATGAAATAGGGAAGGTTTTGACATGAAACTGATCCCGTAAATCTCCCTCAAATTATTTGATAAATTGATGGAAATTCTAACATGCTCCTTTCCACCCTTCAATATTCAACATGTGCTAAAGAATCCAATATTGGAAAAAAATTTGAAATCTATCAAGATTTTTCTCGTTTATTTAATTGAGAGCTAACTTAACAGAAACAACATTTCTTTAAATACACTTAGAGGAGATATATTTATAATTTGCAAAGATCCATCGAGGTTGTATTTCTGATATTGCTCCATTACTTATGTACTGTTTTCCAAACCAAATAGTTTATTCTTGTTTTATTTGTATTTGCTTTGAAAATCTATTGACTAACTAGCTTGGGAACCCAGCTTTGTCTGGAAATTGAACTTTCGCTATAAAAATTAGCCCAATCAACTTAAAAACCAAGCAAGGAACTTCCAATGTTGTGTTAATTGCCTAACCCTGTATGTGAACCTTAAACCAACCCCTCCTAACCATGTGTTTATTGCCTAACCCTGTATCTGAACCTTAAACCAACCCCTCCTAACCCTGTGTTTATCGCCTAACCCTGTATCTGAACCTTAAACCAACCCCTCCTAACCCCGTGTTTATTGCCTAACCCCGTATCTGAACCTTAAACCAACCTTCCTAACCCTGTATCTGAACCTTAAACCAACCCCTACTAACCCTGTGTTTATCGCCTAACCCTGTATGTGAACCTTAAACCAACCCCTACTAACCATGTGTTTATTGCCTAACCCTGTATCTGAACCTTAAACCAACCCCTCCTAACCATGTGTCTATTGCCTAACTCTGTATCTGAACCTTAAACCAACCCCTCCTAACCATGTGTTTATTGCCTAACCCTGTATCTGAACCTTAAACCAACCCCTCCTAACCATGTGTTTATTGCCTAACTCTGTATCTGAACCTTAAACCAACCCCTCCTAACCATGTGTTTATTGCCTAACCCTGTATCTGAACCTTAAACCAACCTTCCTAACCCTGTATCTGAACCTTAAACCAACCCCTCCTAACCATGTGTCTATTGCCTAACTCTGTATCTGAACCTTAAACCAACCCCTCCTAACCATGTGTTTATTGCCTAACCCTGTATCTGAACCTTAAACTAACCTTCCTAACCCTGTATCTGAACCTTAAACCAACCCCTCCTAATCCTAGTAAATCTCTGAACTCAACGAATGGAAACAATAAACGTAAAATTAGCAGAATATTTGAGCGGAAACTAAAAATGTAATGAAAATACTGTACAATATGCATTCAAGTCGTCAAGACGTGACGTTTACTATCTAACCACGCATCTCAACAATTTTAAATAGCAAAGTTAATGAAATCAACCTTTTTTCTTCAAGGTTCTAGTTTTTCTTTTTTTAATGGAGAACGTTCCAAGAAACCAGTAATGGTTCTAGTTTGTCAAACCATGCAATGCAACACACAGTTTTGAAAGGGAAACTGGTTTTTTCAAAAACTAAATTTAGATTTCAAAAATGTGGTCTGCACTTTTTTTAAAAGTGACTTTTTAAGATTAATAGAAGGTAGACAACATTTTAAAAATCTCAGGACAATGTTTAATAATTTATGCCTATAACAACGGTAACCTCAAAGCAAATCAGGGGTGTGTGCCCTGTACACAACTTATGCATGGTTAAAACTAGTATAAAAACCTAGACTCTGTGGACTCCCATCAATATGCCTGAAACTGATTTGAAACCTCGCCAAAAACCTTCATAACTGCCATTACTTACTATACACAGAACATGAATAAGTTTAAGCCTACTTCATCCCTACTCAGCTATCTTGAGAAATCAGGAACTTTTTGTCAACCATGTAAGGGTTGAGACTAATATTGTTCAACACGACTGCTCTCCGACCCTCTAGATCTTCATTCTTCATCTCCCTTCCTTACCCTTTCCTTCAGGTATTATCATAAACATTATTCAAAGATAAAATCTTACCACCACTACTCCGTCAATACCGGAGCTGCTGACTGTAGCTCCGAACCATTGATTGCTCTTATCGTCGATAGTATTCCCGGTGTCGTTGTTGTTCCCCGTCGTGTCGAAGGGTATGATGGTGCACTGGTGAGGTGGGGCTGCAGAGCATCTAAATTAAACATTTTTTAACAAAAAATAAGAAAGGTGTTCTTTAAAGGAATTAAGTCTTTGCCACAAACTCTGATTTTATAATCCCTATATCTTTGCAGCTCAATGTTGCATACCTGAGATATTTCAATCTATGAATTCTGTTGGATCAAATAATCTAAGCTTGAAATATCAAAGTTTTACATCATAAGTTTTCGAAGATATAAGGATTAGAATAATTGAGTTTGTGACAAAGACTCAATTTCTTTGAAACCTTATGTTACAGACATTAAGCAAATCTTTAAGTGCTTCTTCACATCCTGGATAAAATATTCTAGTTATGGTTTTCTACCTGAGAACTGCTCCAGGTCTCTGGATCCCCCATCTCCGCTGTTCCGTCTCGGATTCCGGTGCTCCGACGAGTACCCTGAGACAAAATCACAATTATTCAGAGAAGGTTGTGTAAACAAGAATTATGAGATAATTGCCCAGTCAAGCTGCCAATTTAACTCTTTAATATGAAGATCTGGAGCCTTCAACAAATCTTTATATCTCTTCTCTCAGTGCAGCGTAGTTTAAGACCAGGAAACATTCTTTCTAGATCTAATTGAATGAGGTCACACAAACGGAGTAGTTTAATACACTTTACTCCACCTCCCGGCAGAACCTGGTCGGATCCACCCTACAAGCTGCTACCAAGGATCATTATCCAACCCACAAGCTAAACCTCTCTCACTAAACCTCAAATCTGGGCTAAATTCCTCGACACTGAGTTTTTTAATTCAAATGTGAATGTATATAAGTTAACCCCGTTTAGATAAGGATTGGTATGAAGTTAAGCCTTAAATACGGCGCTAATTCTATAGATAAAATAGATATATAGATCTGGCGGTCTATTTCTAGCCTGTATTTCTAGATATCCAAACAATAGACTTTAATTTAGAACCTTTTACGAGTATTTTATGTTTCTATTCAAGTCTATGTCGATCAAATAAAGGATTTACCCCCCGTTGACTAGTAATGGGACTCAGCTTAATATTTTATCATGACCCGCTTCATACTCTACTCTCTTCAAACCCGATTTCACTCCTTCCCTTCTTCTAATGTTCTTTATTCTCCTTCTTTTTAATTCTATTTTTCTACTTTACTCTCTTAGTTTTCTATTCTTCTGTTTAGACTCCAGAAATTGAGTCTTTCCACAAACTCTGATTTTCTAATTAATACTTTTGCAACCAATGTCGTAGATCTTAGAAATTCAAACTATGAACTCTGTTAGATCAAGGAATCAAAAGTATACAACATAAGGTTGCAAAAATATAAGAATTACAAAATTATAGTTTGTGGCAAAGACTCAATTCCTTTATCTACGACTCCTAAATATGATTTATCATTAAAAGAAAATTATGAAATATTTATGTCACATTTGCTATCATTTGATAATATAGAGGGTACTAAATATCAATATGAAGAGTGTAATGTGATATAAACATGCAAACAGATATATCTACTATATATAACTCAATTACTAAGCAAAGAAAAAAGCAGGCAAATATATATCAAGAATTTTAATATAGCTCTTCACGAACATCTAAAAGATTATCTTTTTTTAAAAATTGATTAGACATAATGTTATGGATGTTTTCCGACCCCATTCACCATTTTTTCGTAATATTCAGATATTTTCTAATGATTCATAGAATACTGGTGGCTGGAGTAAGGTTTGATAAACACCAGATACATGTATTCTCTCTCTATACTTGAGTAAAACTAAATATGTCAACTTTAATGCTGCGGGACAATTAATGTCGGAGTAGTTCTCTAGAATCATTTCTTTAATCTCGTTCTTTATTTGTCTCAGGGGACTATAGGAGAAGTATCAGAGAAGCAGGTGGGAGAAAAAAGGGGGTTGAAGGGTTGAAGGGGGGGGGGCGGGTGTAGAAGTTGGAGTAAGGAAAGGTAAAAGAAGTAGTTTAAGGAAATGTGGAATGTCATAAAACAAGTAGAAGCAAGGAGAATCATCATAAGAAGCCAATTCAAGGATTGACGAGAGAAATGAAGGAGAAGATCAATAAAATATAAATAGCTAGAATTAAAAGAGTTAAGAATAAGAAAAAAAACGACTCACTAAATAGGATCCAATATATAAAAAAACAGAAGCAAAAGCAGGACGCCCAAGAAGAAGAGGAGAACGAAGGGTAGGAGATGGAGAAGAATTAGGACACAGAGAAAGAAAAAAGTGTAGGGAGTGGAGGTGGAAAAGGAAAGGCAGAAGGAGAAGAATGAGAGAAGGTAAGAAGTAGAACAAGTAGATCTTGTAGAACAAAGAGAAAATGGAGAACAAGGAGAAGGAGTAGTAGGAGAAGGAAGAGATAAGGAGAAGAATATGGGAAAGGAGAAGAACTAGGGAGGAGTTAGAATGAGAAGGAAGAGAAAGATAAAGAGAAGAAGGGAAGGAAAATACAGGAAACTAATTTCCTAAATTATTTTTAGAAACAAGGAAGACCGGAAGAGAACTAGACATACATATGCTAAGAAGTAGCTTGAGGTTTATTTATTTATGGAAACTTACTGTACAGTACATAAAAAAGTATAAATGCATCTGACCAATTCTAACTTTTAGTATTTAATATTTGGTATTGGGACAGACAGGGTTAGATGAGTACTGGAGGGTTGGGACAGTCTGGGTTAGATTAGCACTGGAGGGTTGGGACAGACAGGGTTGGATGAGTACTGGAGTGTTGGGACAGTCAGGGTTTGATGAGTACTGGAGGGTTGGGACAGTCAGGGTTATATGAGTACTGGAGAGTTGGGACAGACAAGGTTAGATGAATTTTGGAGGGTTGGGACCATGTTGGGACAGTCAGGGTTACTGGAGTACTTGAGGGTTGAGACAGATAGGGTTGGATGAGTACTGGAGGGTTGGGACAGTCAGGGTTAGATGAGTACTGGAGGGTTGGGACAGTCAGGGTTAGATGAGTACTGGAGTGTTGGGACAGTCAGGGTTTGATGAGTACTGGAGGGTTGGGACAGTCAGGGTTAGATGAGTTGTGGAGGGTTGGGACACACAGGGTTAGATGAGTACTGGAGGGTTGGGACAGTCAGGGTTAGATGAGTACTAGAGGGTTGGGACAGTCAGGGTTAGATGAGTACTTGAGGGTTGGGACAGTCAGGGTTAGATGAGAACTGGAGGGTTGGGGCAGTCAGGGTTATATGAGAATTGGGGGGTTGGGACAGTCAGGGTTAGATGAGTACTGGAGGGTTGGGACAGTCAGGGTTAGATGAGTACTGGAGGATTGGGACAGTCGGGGTTATATGAGAACTGGAGGGTTGAAATGAACTGAGAGAAGAACCTTTGGTCCCAGGAACTTATGTTTACATTTAATTTGCTAAATCAACAAATCATTTATCTATCTATTCATATTATCATAGGATTAAAATTAAGTAGGCATACATCAGAGAGAGAGAGAGAAAGAGAAGACTGGATAGATGGATAGGATATCCATTTTACAATTCAAATAAAATAGGTTAATTATATAATTGGCTTCATTTTTTCAACAAAAACTTTGCAATTCATATCCTAACATTATCAAATATATTTTCATACTTTGAGAAAAGTATTCAATTAACAAATGCAATTAGATAATTTAATTTACAGATTCAAAAACTTCTTTTATCACTTTAAGAATTCTTGTAACCTGCCAATAAATACGAATAGGTAATCTGTCATATAATCTGATGATGATCCCTGTCGTTGGTGTTTTATGCAACAGTATTTTCAAATGCTGATATTTCTAGTATATTGTGACTTTTTAAAGAAAGGAGAAGAAGAATTCAAAGTCTAAATTTATGAAATTTATAGTTCAACTATTTCTCTTGTGCCACCGAGTTTAACTTGACTCAAAAATGTGGTTCAATTAGATCTGGGCGGAACAAGTAATCTAAAAGTAGGTATAGTTAAACTATTCATCGCTATCGCTATGCTCAAATGTCCAATACAGTGTAATGTTTGCACTTACCATCCTGCCCCTTGATCTATATGTGAAGCTACGGAGAACCCGAATAAACTAGTTTGAGAACCCTGAAATATAACTCCGCTCTCCAGGTCCATATTAAACTGTATAGATGGCCTGCTGGCCAGTATCACGAGCAGTAGCGAGATCATATTTAGTTCCCACATCACGCTTTCATCTCGACGCGTGCAGGTCAACTGAGTTCTCCGGTGCTTCTACTCCTGCTCTCTACTCCAGAGTATACCTAGAGAAGGAAAGCCGATTAAACACTCGACTATATAGTGAACTATACGGAAATCCCCCTTTAGTAACCTTCCCTTCCATATTTTTCGATTGCAAACACGTTTTTCTTAACAATAAAATATAAAATAAGACATATTCCTGAAAAAGATAATTAAAGGTCTGCATGGATTGGGATTCCCCCGTATTCCCGTACAGAAAACAGATGAAACAAAAAGTTTCCCCACTGTGAGTAAATATAGGATTTTACCCCTCATTCATCGTCAAACGTAAAACTCAATGATTCGCTTAAAATCTGTTTTGAGCACAATCCTGGAAAGTCTTACCCCAAACTTTATTTTTAATTTTTTGCTATTTTAAAACATCACTTTAGGCCCCCTAACATCGTTCGTATAAGCACTGAGATTTCAAATGTACAGATGATACACTGCCCCCTCCCCATACTCCCTCACTCAGTACCTGAGATTTGACAGAATATCTGAGAATACGATATACACGTGTCTCCTCCCTCCTCCTTTCCTCTTCTTCCTTCTCTTATCTTTCTGCGTCTTGCTCCTCCTTCTCCTCCTTCTCCTCCTTTCTTCTCCTCCTTCCTTCTCCTCCTTGCCCTAGAAAATGAAACTTAATATAAAAGAGGATTGTCAAAGTGTATATATAACTTTTTAAACTCAAATGCAGTTTTTTAAATAATTTGAAATTATGTTTAAAAAACCTGAAACCAACAAATGAATAAGCTTGTAGCGAACTATCAATTTGTAAATTAGGATAAAACCTGTATAGTTTTGTCATTTGTAGATAACCCTTCAGCTGTTATAGCTGTATACAGAAAATGTTTAAATTGATGTTGATGTTAATGAACCAAGATAGATTTAAAAAGCGCCATTAATCTACTTTTCTTTCGAATTAATAGATAAAAACGAGAAAATCTGTATTCTAATCTATTTTGAGAAACTTTTGATTGATAAAAAAGCTTGCAAAATGTTTATAAAATATGTTTTTATCAGTTCATCTATGACGACTGCCAAGGTCGACTGTGTAAACAAGAAAAACAATTTAACGATTTGAAAATTAAAGAAGATGAATTCAAGAAATATTACGAAAAGAAGATTAGAGAAATCTTCTTCTTATTTAAACTTGAATTTATCAGAGGGAGTTTGACAACTGCTAAAAACCACAGCGTGTCACAGCCATAGAGAATAGAATATATAGAGAGGAATTTAAAGAATCTCTTGGTATGAATTTTTTCAGTCCCTTTCAGCCTGAAAGGGAGTTCAAAGTGTACAAATCATGTAAATGTTCACAAATTATATGCAGTAGAGTACATTAATACAGTATGTTCCCTAGACTATTCATTTCAATTTCGAAATTTTTAAACTGTTAAATAAACTTTATTATGAATTAGGTGAATAAAAACATCATTTGATTTATAATTATAACGGAAAATCATCGTTTGTAAAGTGGAAGGCATAGAGTCAATGTGAAATGATCATTGGTCAATTGTGAAACCAGCCTATTTCATAATTTGGGTTTCTTTTCACAATAATTTTAGATTTTCAATAAAATGATATTCCAGGGCCCAACAGGTTATATAGCACAAATATGTGAAGTACACTTGCAGTATGGAAACAGTACAACAAAATGGCCGTTTTACACTTTTTTCTAGTAAATTCCTCTCTCTATATATATATTCTATTCTCTATGGTCACAGCATTAAGATATTTACACGAGTTCATTCGTAAACCTTTTAATGCTATTAGGGGATATTTAGAAGAAAACCACCAAATTCTGAAAACCCCAGATTGAGATATAATGAATTTTGTGTCAATATTCATTGATAGAATACATACGTTATTCTTTAGGATTGAAAGACCCACGGTGGGTTACATTTGAGAAAGCTCAGAAGCCGTATCATTTTTGTAAAAAATCATAAAAAAATTGAGTCTTTGCTACTAACTTTAATTCTCTAATTCCTACATCTTTGCAACCAATGTTGTTAGATCAAATAATTCAAGTTTGATAGGTTTACACCTTCAGGCTGCAAAGGTATAGAGATTGGAAAATTTTAGTTTGAGGCAAAGACTTAATTCCTTTTGTCATTCATGAATTATTAATGTTAAATAATGATATAAATGTCATAGATGAATAATTGTGACACCTAGAAAATAGTTTTTAATAAGTTACTTTTAATCATGATTCAGACTCGTTATTTCTCACTCTCCATCAGTAAGAAAATAAACAGTGTTTTGACAAAGTCCAGGAAATTCAAACTTTTTCATTCATTCCCACTTAACTCATCTTTGCAACAATCCTCGCTATTTTCTTCTTGTTTTTCTTATCATTAGGGTTGGCATTTAAACTCATAAACTACAGCACTCAGCACACACCTAGCACAGGCACAGTGCTAACATGTATTCATATTTAGAACTGTAAATAGGTGTACAGTATATGCAGGATTTATTATAGGTATATATATATATACACACATATATAAAATTATCTGGATCTAGATGCAACTTAAAGTGGGTTGGAATATGTTATTGAAGAAGGAGTCGGTTTGGAATAGGATGCGGAAGAAGGAGTAGGGTTTGAATAGGTTACTAGAGAAGAAATAAGGTTTTAATTGGTTACCAGAGAAGGAGAAGGGTTGGAATAGGTTACTGGAGAAGAATTAGAGGTAGAATAGGTTGCTAGAGAAGGAACAGGATTGGAATGTGTTATTTGAGAAGGAGTAAGGTTGGAATAGGTTCCTGGAGAAAAAGTAGGGCTGGGATAGGTTACAGGAATAGGGTTGGAATAGGTTCCTAGAAAAGGCACAGGTTTAAAATAGGTTACTGGAATAAAAGTAGGGCTGGGATAGGTTACAGGAATAGGGTTGGAATAGGTTCCTAGAAAAGGCACAGGTTTAAAATAGGTTACTGGAATAAAAGTAGGGCTGGGATAGGTTACAGGAATAGGGTTGGAATAGGTTCCTAGAAAAGGCACAGGTTTAAAATAGGTTACTGGAATAAAAGTAGGGCTGGGATAGGTTACAGGAATAGGGTTGGAATAGGTTCCTAGAAAAGGCACAGGTTNAGAAAGGGGGGAGGCAACCCTGTACAACCCCATATACTACACTTACATTATAAATTCCTTTTCAATACTTTCATTTTAATTAATAAGTTCACTTCTGAAACAATATTATCATTATTCTTAACTAAACCAAACCCATTAATCTCTTTATCATCCATTCATCTTTAGTAGTTAGAACCAACCTTAGGGTTTTCTCATCTATGTGAGAAATTTGGGTTCCATGGGTTCCCTCTGTAAATCAAGTGGAAAGCTTGAGTTCCTGAAATAATGCTGCAAAATTGATCAAATTTCACCGAATTGAGACAAAGTTAAATTGAGCTGCGCAATCTTAGGTTTTTATCCTGATAGCATAGAATACACGCTAATACAGGGGAGGAGGACAAAATCAATCTGATATTCAGTTTTACACCATAACCCTGTTTCAAATACACCATAACCCTGTATCCAATACACCATAACCCTGTATCCAATACACCAGAATTCTGTATCCAATACATTAGAAACCTGTATCATATACATTAGAACCCTGAATGCTTTACACCTGAACCCTGTATCCTATACATTAGAAACCCGTATCATATACATTAGAACCCTGTATACTATTTACCTGAACCCTGTATCATATTAATCCTGTATCTTATATACTAGAACCCTGTATCCCATTCACAAAAAAATGTAGCATAAAAATCTATGCATCCTTTCCTTAAAAATGTTTTTTATAGAACACAATAATCTGCTTCCGGTATCTATACATACATATGCATCCTGTATCATGATCTACAAATATAAGTTATTTAAATACTTAGACAAACATTAAACATAGCTATGGAACCCAGCTTTCCTGGGAAATAATTTTCCCTTTAAAATTCAACCAACTCAATTTAGAATTTTTAAACCAAACTAAAAACATTAAATTAAAAATAAAAGAGAAATAGTAAAACTATCGGAAAATTGCAAGATGCGTTTAGCCAGTTCCTTGATTTATTTCCTTGGCTCTGAAGGTAGAATATAATGTATAATGTAGGACGTGAATGTATTGTATTTAAATTAGGAAAATATGAGTTGTTACATTTATCGAGTACAAGGTTAGAGTAAAGAGAAGAGGATAAACAAGGTTAGGATAAAGAGAAAAGGATAAACAAGGTTAGGATAAAGAGAAGAAAATAAAAAAGATTAGGATAAAGAGAAGAGAATAAACAAGGTTAAGATATTGAGAAGAGAGTAAACAAGGTTAGGATAAAGAGAAGAGAATAAACAAGGTTAGGATAAAGAGAAGAGAATAAACAAGGTTAGGATAAAGAGAAGAGAATAAACAAGGTTAGGATAAAGAGAAGAGGATAAACAAGGTTAGGATAAAGAGAAGAGAATAAATAAGGTTAGGATAAAGAGAAGAGGATAAACAAAGTTAGGATAAAGAGAAGAGGATAAACAAGGTTAGGATAAAGAGAAGAGGATAAACAAGGTTAGGATAAAGAGAAGAGAATAAACAAGGTTGGGATAAAGAGAAGAAATTAAACAAGGTTAGGATAAAGAGAAGAGGATAAACAAGGTTAGGATAAAGAGAATAGAATAAACAAGGTTAGGATAAAGACAAGAGAATAAACAAGGTTGATATTGATAGGCTTTTCTCAAAGGAATTGAGTTTTCACGACAAACTCAAATTTTTGTAACCTGATGATGTAAACCTTGGATATTTCGACTTATTCATTTGATCTAACAGAATTCATAGATTTACGACATCGAGATGCAAAGATAAATGGATTACAAATCAGAGTTTGTGGCAAGAACTCAGTACTCTGTTCCTTTATTATTTACAATCTATATATAAATTTGGCTTGTCTGTCTGTTTGTATACGTCAAAACGGCTGAA